CTTACCGTTCAGATCATTGTACATGCAGTCGACTTTCACGTTCACGTCTTTAGATGCTTTTTTGTTCGTCATAACAAGCTGCTGGATGGACTGTTCAAATCTACCGATTTGTGAAGCTAGCTGGTTCGTCGTGACTCCCTGCTGTTGTACAAATTGATTGTTAAAACCCGTACCTTGGTAGTTATATGGCTGTCGCGGTTGATATGGTACTGTTCCTCTGAAGTTTCCACCTTGAAACTTGTTTTGGAAGGATTTTTGCTGAGGTGGGTAGTACTGATCTTGAGGATTCTCCACATTTGGATTTCGGTAAGAGAGATTGTTGTAATTTGCATTCCGGAAGTTGTTGTTGAAACCATTGTTGGAGCGATTTTGATATGGCACAAGTGCTCCTACATAGTTCACATCTTCTTCTTGAAAGGCTTGATTAATGTGATCGATATCACTAGGTCCTCCATCTTCTGCGCCATTGTTGGTCTCACAAGCATGGGCAATTGTTGCTCTTCAGAAGCTGGCTCATCATGTTCTTCAACTCGATTATCTTCTTGTTGTCTATACCGGTTTGCTTCGTCGATCGATCGTATTCAGGACAATCATTGCTATTGGCTTGAGCCAAATTTTCGATGAGAGCTCTTCCTTGGGCTATCGTCTTTTGTCCAAAATCTCCATTGCTAGCTGTATCAAGTGAAAGTTTGTATTTTGGTTGCAAACCTCGGTAAAATGTGCTTAGCAGGCTTGATCCATGAAATCCATAGTGAGGGCAATCACATTCATACTCCTTGAAATGTTCCCAGGCTTCATAGAAAGATTCACTTGGCCCTTGTTGAAAGTTTGAGATCTTTGTTCTCAACTGATTCAACCTTGACTTAGTATAGAAGTGGTTCAAGAAAGCAGTTTTACATTCTTCCCAATTAGTAATCGATCCTGCAGGCAAAGATTTCAACCAACGGTGAGCTTTATCTGCTAATGAAAAAGGGAACAACTTACACTTTAAATAGTCTGGTGGAACTTGGTTTGTTCTCATCATGCTGCAGATTTCTTCAAAGAGCTTGATATGGTCCATTGGGTGTTCAGAAGGAATTCCATGGAATTGGTTTTGTTTCACCAACGAGATGATTTGAGGCTTGACTTCAAACTCATTCCGGTTCGGAAATGGGACTTGAATTGCAGATCGGTTCTGAAAATTTTGAGTAGGTGCATCAAAATCAGCTATGCGATGGTTTCTGGCTTGTCTTTGGTGTTGAATTGCTTGCTGAACAGGGCGGTTAACGCGCCCATTCGGCTGCATCCCTTGTTGGTCACCATCGGCTGCATTGATGGGTGCTTCAAGGTCTTCACGTTCTTCTCTCTCGCGGTTCTGGTGGTTTCTTGGAGGAACCTCATCCTCCTCTCCATCTTGTCGAGCATGATCACCTCCTCTGTGATCATTCTCTTCATTTTCTCCATGTTCGGACCCATCTTGGTCCATATTTAAAGCTCGGTTAATAGGATCTCCAGGCTGGTCGTCGTTGGCCATTCCTTGTGTTCGTCTAAGTCTTCGAAGTTCTCTTTCGTGTCTGTCTATCTCGTCTAGAATTGGAATGTTTTCTACAGGTCTGCGCCTGGTATTCATGCAATTCAGAAAGAAACAAAAGAAGGGAAAGATAATTCAGAAAAACTTTAAGAAAAAACTAGAGATCAGGTGTCTAGAACAGAAGTTAAAACAAGAAAAATAGCAAAAGGCAGCGAAACAAATCCCCGGCAACAGCGCCAAAAACTTGATGCGTGTCAACTGCGTGAGGGAACAAGTTTTACCCTTAACAAAAACAAATGAAAGCCGCAAGTGCACAGCTAATCAGTTGTAGTATTTAGGGATCGAATCCACAGAGATTTGTGTGCCTGGTATTCTTCTACGGTTTTTGACTTTATGTCTAGACTAGATTGGTTTTAAAGGTTGGTTGTTTGTCACGAATTAAACTAAAACTTAAAGAAAGCAAATAAATCTATCCTAGAAAGCAAGTAGAAAAATCGAATGGAAAGCAAGTAAATATCGAACTAAGGCAATTGAAATGCAGATCTAAATAAGCAAATAAAAATCGATTGGTTTTTAAACTATGACTAAAAATGCTGAGCTTTTGGGAACTCTAAGGGATCATAATCGGTTTTGACACTAGGGTAGATAGTTTGGGATTGACGGATATCGATATATAGGTGGTTCTAGAGCTAGAGTACGGCGGTATGACTACGTCACTGTCGTGATCATAACCAACTGTTTCTCGCAACCCTGACCAGTAGGTTTCCACTCTGGCCCTGGAAGGGAGAGAACGCAAGAGCTGCACAAAACTCGTCAATACTCACGATCTCGCCGCAGGTAGGTTTCCACTCCTACGGAAAAATCGCCTATTTCATTCTAGGGCTGATACTTAATGAAAACTTTCGCAACACTAACTATCTAGATCAGATACTAGGTGATCAATCAAGCATACATGCAATAAGAACAAGAATAAACAGAGAACAGGTCGAAATCCCATATCTATAAACCTAGATGTCTTAATCGATTATGAGAGCCCCTTTTGGGAACCCTAAGCCCAACTCGGGATCTACTCAGACATGGCTGAGGTCGACATCATCATTGGTTTTAATAAAAGTAATGAAAAAGAGTAAAGAAAAGAGATGAAGAAATCTTCTCTATTGATGAAATCGGACTTGCAAAATCTTCTACAAAAATTGCATAAAAACGGCTAAAGGAAAAGGGTTTCTGTAAACAATGAAGGGTGCTCTCTAAAAACGACCTAAATGACAAGTATTTATAGTCTTCAATACTCCATGGTCTCTAGGGTTCCGGAATTGAGGCTGAGAATGACTTTGGGCTTCAGAAATATGGGCTTTAATTCGGAGCTTGATGGTCGCGGTCGGGAGTGACGTAACCGCGGGGATTTAGTGGTTGGCCGCGGTCGGGAGGCTTCTGACCACAGGAAATAGGCTGTTGGCCGCGGTCGCGTGACTTGCTGGCCGTCTTCGAGTGGCTCCGGGGCTAATGGAATATCTTGAGATCCAACCGTTGGAATGTCTCCAAACCAAGTGCATTTGAAAGCTGGTTGATTCTTCTATAAGTTGTCCAATTTTGAGGGTGATCAGACGGTGAGAAGGTCTTCGTCTCTCCATGAGAGTTCTGACGGTCTGCATTTATCCAAAAGAGTCTTTTTGTTCCAATTTGTGCCTCTTTATCCCAAATTACCTGAAAAGTCTTTTAAAATCTGGAAACATAGAAATCCTTTGAAAACCTTTAAAAATAGAGTAAAAACACCTGTAAAAGATATTAAAGTGATCCATAAAAATGGTCAAAATCCGATGTTATCATCTGGCGGCAAAAGTCTTACAAGGACGTTATTTCAATGAAAGTAATTTCCTTAATGCAACAAGGAAAAGAAAGGACTCGTAGCTGGAAATCTCTACTACAGGGGAAAGAATTACTTCGCAAAAGGGTAAGATTCATTGTTGGAGATGGTTCTTTCATCAATATATGGAAAGATCCATGGCTGCCTACTCATCCTCCACGTCCACCTCAACCACGACACGAGATTGATGAGTCTATACTGATGAGCGATCTTTTTGATTAAAGAAACGGAAGGTGGAATGAACAGCAGGTTAGAGCTCTATTTCGAGATGAGGATGTGAATATCATCCTCTCTTTAAGGATCACTTCTACTGCTAAGAAAGATCTACTAGGGTGGCATTATACAGAAGACGGAATTTATACAGTTAAATCCGGTTATTGGCTTAGCACTTACTTGCCAGATAATGAGCCACCACGACCACCACAAGGAGATGTATTACTAAAGAACAAAGCATGGAAAATTAGAACGGCCCTAAAAATAAAACATTTCCTATGGAAATTACTTTCTAATGCTTTGGGAATGGGAGAATCTCTAAAACAGAGGCACATCACGCCTGATTCAGTGTGCAAAAGATGCTTTCAAGAAGAAGAAACGGCTAAACATCTGTGTTTTGACTGTGACTATGACCAAAGGGTGTGGCGAAACTCTGGAATGTCAAACCGAATTCTGCTGGACCATGGGGAAAGTCTTGAATCAAAGATAGAAGTTTGCCTCTCATGTAATATCATCACAGCCCTATCTGCCCTCAAACATTTACCATTATGGACCCTATGGAGACTATGGAAAAGCAGAAACTCTTTGCTGTACCAACAACAATAAATTCCTTGGCGCCAAACCTTAAGACTTGCAAAACAAGACACTGCTGAGTGGTTGAATATTGAGTCACAAATTTCATAAACACTGTCGGATCTTAGAACACCAAGACAAACGGAGGGCAATTCAGAAAGATGGGGAAAGCCGCCACAAGGTTTTACCAAGTGCAACTATGATGGATCTTTCTATAGTCAAGATATCCCAGCCAAAGCCGGCTGGATTTTAAGAAATGAAAGAGGACAGTATTGTGGATCAAGTCAAGCCAGAGGATGCAAAGTCAACCGAGCAATTGAACCGTGAATTAATTATGGCTATGCAACATTGTTGGAGCAAGGGATTAAAAAGGATAAATTTTGAAGGCAATAACCAATCGGTTGTGGAGCTACTTAAGGGGAAAAGGTTAAACTTTAGCCTTTATAATTGGATAAGAGAGGTCAAATTCTGGCAACAAAGATTTGAAGAAGTTCATTTCACTTGGATCAACAGGAAATGAAATAGAGTAGCAGATGCATTGGCAAAATCTCAAATTCCCTCTAATGATCTCTATTTCCATCATTTCTACGTACCATATGTAATATATGATGCTTTGCATTATGATTATGTAAACATTCGTTAAAAAACAAAAAGAAAGAAAACAAAAAAAAAATGCAACTTTCCTTTTTTCCATGGAAGGTACAGTACATAAAACCGACTTTTTTTTTTTAAACCCCTTTTTCTCAAAAAAAAAAAAAAAAAAAAAACAAAACAAAGATATAAATCCCTAATTTCGGAGACAGTTTGAATTAGTCTCTGTGTGGCACTTAGCTTCCCTCGATGGCTCCAAACTCTACTCGAGTGCTGAAGAGGCACATGCCACGGGAAAATTTGGACAAGAAACAGGATACGAACAAGAAGTGTAAAACTCTTGTTTACAATCCTCCGACTGAGTATCTAGGTATCTTAATTAGTTCGTCGTCATGGTTATTTTTTGCAAGTGATTCACAGATTGTTTCCGCAACTCAAAATAAAAATCATTTGTGTATTGTAGATTCATCATCGATTTACAGAGAACCAACAACGTACAATAATTTACTGGCATCTCTCGGTTTATCTAACAAGGTTGTTGCTGATATGAACAAAAGAAGGTACTTTTGTACAATGTGTTAACAAGTTCAAAATATTTAGTTTGCTGAAATCTGGAACTCTCTGTTATAGTGGTTACATTCTTGTTCCTCTGTGGAACTTTATCCTTAAACTCTTTTCAAATTTTGTTATCTTTTAAGTTTCTTGCAAATCGTTTAACAGGCAGAGAGAGGAGGAAGGTAAAAGCGACACAGAAGGAGATGATGACGATGACGAAGAAGAGGAACGAGATGACATGGTTGTTCAGACTATTGGTGATCTTAATCATACTTCTTGTAAAGGGGCTGATCAGGAAAATCTTGGAGATCATACTGAGAACACAGAGAAGGAGAAGAATGATTATCATAGTGAGGAAGAAGAAGATTTCGAGGATTGTGAAACGGATGAGGAGGAGCAAGAGTTGAATACCGATGGCCAATCTTCTGTAGATGCTTCTTCTTCATTTACTAGTGCATTTAGTGATCACCTTAGTCACAAATTATCAAGTCAAGAAGTGGAAACTTTACCAAAAGGCAACTGGAAGTTTAAATGGGAAGCACCTGCCATTGACATACCAAATTGCATGTGGAAAGGAACAAGACAAAATTTTCTTGATGTATGTGTCCAGAGTGATGCAACATACGGACTCAAGCCAAAGTTATTTAAGCACTGGCTTCAATTATACGATAAATCTGGAGGAAAAGATTTCAACTCATCTAAAAGGAGAAGACTATTCTCCATTTGTAAGTATGATCAGACCTTTTTTCTCAAATTCTTTTGTATTATTATGGCTCTGTCATTGATTATAATATTAATTTTCTAGGCAACAGCTATCAGGATATTTTGCATTCTAACAAGAGACCCTTTTATAATGGAGGCCTTAACGAAGACTCAAGTGCCATGGACGCATACATTATGCATTCTGTGTGTGCACACTTTTTATTCCTTCTTATAAAGCCATTTCATGATTGCTTTTCTCCAAGATTTCTTGAATTCATTTTTGTTCAATATGCAGTTGAATCACATTTTTAGAACTAGAGATCTTGTCAACACGAATGAAAGCATAATTTCCAAGCATAGAGAGACGTTGTCCGAAGAGGAAATTCTTTCCAATGGTAGGTTTTTAGACCAAGGATTTACTCGTCCAAAGGTGTGACCCCCTTCTCCTTTTGTGCTTTATGAGTTTCAAATCTGTTGTTGTTCGCATTTTGCCAAATTGGTCTTACGTTTATTGTATATACCCAGGTACTTATCCTACTACCATTCAGGAGTATAGCCTTTCGCGTTGTTAAGAGGCTCATACAACTAACTCCAGAATCTCAAAGGGTATACAAACTCATGAAATTATTTAAGTCATTTGCTGATTATGTCTTGAGTTGCCTATGTTCTCTTCTAATGACATTTATTGATATCAGGTAAATGTAGAACACCTTGACCGGTTTAATGCTGAGTTTGGATGTGAAGACGATTCTGATGAGTGTGATGGGAACTCAATAACTCGAAAGCCTTCAAAGCCTTGTGATTGGCAAACCCTTTTTGGTGAGGGGAACAATGATGATTGTTTTATGTTGGGCATTAAGCATACAAGGTACATTATCTTTAGCCTACATCATTCACATTGCAGTGCATGCTTCCTGTTTGTAATTTGGTTGTTGGCTGAGACTTGTGTCGATCTCTTGTTGATTCTAGGAAGAGCATTAGGCTGTATGGTGATTTCTATTCCTCGGACATCATTATTGCTTCCCCTCTCAAGTTACTTATGGTAGGTACTCTTTTGCAAGTTATAATTTTAGTTGTGTAAATCCTCTTGATCGATTCAGTCTCTTATCACTTTTCACTCTTTCTAGGCCATTGGTCTAGCAGAAGAAAACAAGGACCTGGATGTTGATTATCTTTCCTCAATCGAGGTATTTGTTTTATCATTGCGTAAAGAAGATATTATATATATATATATATACATATATAATTAGTCTACTGTCGTTATATCTCTGAAACCTGGTCTATTCTGAAATTACTGATATTTTCATTTGACATGTGGATGCAGGTTTTGGTTATCGATCATGCAGACATAATATCTATGCAGGTATATGTTTTGTGAGAGTTTGCAAAGATGGATTATTATTATGACTTCTTTCTTATATTCTTCATTATATTGATGTTTCAGAATTGGCGGTTCCTTGAAACAGTCGTCGACCACTTAAACAGATTGCCATCAAAACAACATGGTACCAATGTCATGCGAATCCGGCCATTGTAAGTACTTCTTCTGACTTCATAAAGTTTTTCATTCTTCTCTATAATACGTTTTATGTGTTCCAAGATCCCCAACTACTTGTAAGAATCTCGATAAAAATTGTCTTATGTTTAGGTATCTCGATGGACATGCACGGTTCTATCGGCAGTCAATAGTTCTAAGCTCTTATTTAACCACAGGTGTTGTTTTCATATAAAGTCTTCGTTTTTGCTATATTCTCCATAACCCTTGACTATGGTGAAGTTCCTAAACTCGTACTAACTCAAAAATTATTTCATTTCAGATATCAATGCTCTATTCAATCACCATTGCTTGAACTATAAAGGAAAGGTGGGAATTTTTTTCTATTGTTTAGTATATTATATGCTCTATCAATGCCTTTGTCCTGTTAACATTCCTCTACTTGCTCAGAAAGGGTTCCACAGCATAGATTATCAGATTTAAGTCACTTTAGAAACAACATTCTATGATATGAATATTTGAATTAAAATTGTCCCATGCATCACACTTTTAGTTGAATCAATGCAGATGAAGCTTGCGTGTGAATACAAAGGTGTTCTTCAGGAAGTATTGCTCCCTGTCGAGCAGATTTATGGAAGATTCGATGCAGACTCCGTGGACCATGCTAACGATGCACGTCTTGAATATTTTACCAAAAAGGTCTAGTTCATTTCTTGTTTCCGTAACCACTGAAACTAGGGTCAATACAATATTTTCTGATTTCATTCTTCTTTTTGGTTTAGATATTCCCAAAGATTAAAGATTCTGCTCAGGTACTCCCATCATTCAAAGGGTGAACTATTTTGATATGTACCCATACTTTAATTTGCCATATAATCCTGTTTGTAGGGAGGAGTAATGATCTTTATGAATTCTTACTTCGAGCTCGTCATGCTAAGAAGCTTTTTGAAGTCGCAGAATGCCTCTTTCTGTGTTCTTGGAGAGTGAGACCAAATTCTTTTTTCCCCTATTCTGAAGTTGCTGTCTTATAGTTATCTGTATTTATCAATATATTGACTCTCGTTTTCAGATATACAGAAAAAGAGGGTAAATCCAAAGCACGACAAGAGTTTTTTGAAGGGAACAAAAAGATCATAATTTACACTGAGAGAGCATACTTCTATTGGAGATACAAGGTTATTTATTATCTTTGATCTTTTGATTAGTTTTTATTTTATAAATACAATTCTTGATCAATTTCTGGCTTCTCGGGTTTCAGATCCGCGGCATAAAGAAGTTGATTTTCTATTCTCTTCCGGAACGGAAGGAGTTTTACCCTCAGGTTTGACTTAAGAGCATCTTACTTGCGACACAAGGCATAATTATCAAGGAGAATTAAGACAGTCGGATCTCATTATTTCTAGGTTTAACTTGCAGATAATGAACATGCTTGAAGAATCACATGACATGATGTCCACTGCGCTCTTTTGTCGATTTGATCAGCTCAAGGTAACTAAATAACTCTCATTTTACAATCTTTTGATTGTTTTTTAAAACACTAATGAGAGCCATAAACAGTGATATATTCTCTTAGAGATCAATCACAGAGGAATATCTCACAGAGAGTATTGTTGATATATATATGCCCCCTAAATAAGAGTTGGCTCTCTCAGTAGCACCAATCTGATGAGTGAGTTTCTGATATGTTAAGTGTTGTTATCTGAATCCAATGTGATGGTTTATTTGCAGATGGAAAGGATCGTTGGGCATGCTTCAGCAAAGAGAATGATCAGTTCTGAGAAGAGCAGCTTTTGCTTTCGGTAGTAGAGTGGAGTGATTAAGACTACAAATTAATTTATATATTGGTGTAACGACAAATGTTGCTGCTCAAACCTCCCCTCCCCCTTTTTTTTTTGGTATTCTGCCATTTTATATGGTCAAATACATTAACCGGTTCAAACCGATTTAAGTGAAACCCCAATCTTTAAACAATAATTAAATTGATTTAGTTTCATGTGTTATAAACAAATGGACTTCTAATAACCGGCCCATTAACCATCAGGTTAATTTCTCATGGCCCATTAGGGTTTCTGATACATTAGTTATGTAATGTATATATACACTGCTTATGGAAACAATAAGATAAGAGTTTTTTCCCTTAATACGTTATCAGCACGAAGCTCAACTTCAAACGATCATATCTCTCAAAATACAAGGAGTTAGAAGGCGATCTACATATCATTTTGAAGCCCTGGAAGAGAAGAATCTAGTGGTGAAAACCGCTCCTCAATCCGACACCAGACGCGCCCTCAAGACTCAAAACAATCGGCGCTGTCCCACCTTAGCGGGTGATTCTTTCCAAGCGGTGGTTCCTCCATTGTAGCAGCTGTTCGTCCTCCCTTCTGGCCATCATTCTCAGGAGTTTCCAGTAGATATCTGTGGTCTTTAGCTCCCAGATCATAAGCCGGTCAGAAATCCATTTGGCGAAAAGATATGCAAGACAATATGGATATCATTGTGGATAGTGGATCGAGCCACACCATTCTAAAAGACAAGAATTACTTCATAAATTTAGTAATCAAAACCGCAAACAAACCGATCCTCTTTCTTCTTGTCAAAACCCTAATTGGTTTTATTTTTCCTAATCGGCTTTATCATATAAAACCTAAACCCTAATGCTTTGTTTAAATCCTAAACCGATCGGTTATTTATCTTAGATCCGATCCTTGAAAACCCTAAAATCGGTCCATGCAAGCTCCTAAATCCTAAACCAATCGATCCCTTAAACTCTAAACCAATCGATCCACCTAAACCGTTTATAAACTGATAAATTCTAATCCTAAATCGATAAGGTTTAAGTTTAAACCGATCGGTTTTTCCTAATAAAAATTAAACCCTAGCAAATCCGTTTAGTTTAATCCCTTAACCGATTAATAACCCTAATAACCGGTTTCCAAAATTAAATCTAATTTAACCGGTTTTGTTGTTTAATCGATCAATCCGATCTCTAGATTGCCTAAACCCTAAACCCTTAAAAAAAAAAAAAAAAAAAAAAAAAAAAAAAAAAAACCAATGTTTATCTATTAGAGCTAAATTTGGAAACCCTAGTAAACCGGCTAGGCTATAAACCCTAAGGTTCGATTTTAGAGTTCCCTTATATAGCAAGTTTCCTAAAATAGCAAGTTTCCTGAAATGGAAAGTTTTCCCAAGAATACCTTAAATCCCTTATTCCAATGATCATAGTCTCATACTATTGATTATTTAACATAAATTATTTAACTAAACCTTGACACCAAGATCTACCTCAACTCAAAAAGTCTGGGTGAATGCATCAAAGATCCCAACACCGCGACTCAAACAGAACGGTACTCGGCGATATTTATTATCCGCCATCACCTCGCTGAGTCTCTCAAGCAACAATACCTCACTCTTGAGGATCCACTCGAACTTTGGGTGGCACTGAAAAAGCGATATGACCATCAGAAAACGGTCATACTGCCCCAAGCCAAGTTCGACTGGAAGAACCTACGGTTCGAAGATTTCAAATCCGTCGAAGAATTCAATTCCAAACTCTTTCGGATAGTTGCACTCATAAAACTATGTGGCGAGGAGGTCACTGATAAGGATATGCTAGAGAAAACATTCTCTACTTTTGGTACTCCCAATGTTGTTCTCCAACAACAATACCGTGCCATGAATCATAGCACCTATGAGGATTTGATATCTTGCTTACTGCTTGCTGAGAAGAACAATCAGCTTCTGTTGAGGAACAGTGCCATGCGGCCTCCAGGATCAGCCCCATTGCCAGAAGGAACCAGAAAAGAGTCCAACTTCGTCCAACGTAACAGATCCTCAGATCGTGGACGTGGACGTGGAAATGGACATGGACTGCGCGGCAAAGGACGCGGTAGACCGAACCAAGATAACCGACCTAACCTCAGTTTTGGTCGGGGTAAGGGTCGTGGTATCAACAAACCGACCCAAAGAGGCAGTTCATCTAGACCAACTCCTTGCTCAAGATGCGGAATGACTAATCATTGGGTCAAGATCTGCCGTACTCCCAAATATCTTGCTGAGCTCTACCAGAAGTATGGGAAAGATAATCATGAGGCTAACCTGGTTCATCAAGTCAATGAAAATGACTCAAAGGATGATAAGATTGATGGCATGGATTATGAGCTCTCCGACCTCCTTGATTGATCTCAAAAATCTGAATTTGTTTTTCATTACTCCTTAAACTTTTATCTTTTGTTTTTTGGGATTTATTGTCTTTACTTTGGATTTTTAAAACCTTTTGCTTTTACATTTTAATTTATGGAGTAATGTTTTATTTACATCTCATTTTTGCATGTTATTGAATTATAATTCTTGTTTAATAAAGATATGCAAGACAATATGGATATCATTGTGGATAGTGGATCGAGCCACACCATTCTAAAAGACAAGAATTACTTCATAAATTTAGTAATCAAAACCGCAAACATTAGCACTATAGCGGGTAGTTCGAGCCTAATAGAGGGCCATGGCCAAGCTAATGTGTTGTTATCAAATGACACATATCTAGACATCTCTGATGCCTTATACTCACCCAGTTCTAAGAGAAACCTATTGAGTTTCAAAGACATAAGATTGAATGGTTTCCATATCAAAACTCAGGATGAAGGGAACAAAGAGTTTTTAATTATCACTAAAATGATAAATGGCCATAAACAAGTTTTTGAAACTATACCCGCCGTATCTACTGGCATTTACCATGCTAAAGTCAGTATGATTGAGGCTAATGCTGCTATCAAAGCACGGTTTTTAGATTACACTATTTGGCATGATCACCTGGGTCATCCCGGTGCGAACATGATGCGTAAATTAGTCCAGAATTCTAAAGGGCACAGCCTTAAACCAAATGGTATTTTCCCTCAGCACCTCAAGTGCACAGCTTGCTCACAAGGGAAACTGATTACCCGACCTTCACCAGTCAAAGTGTCTAAAGAGACCTTGAACTTTCTGGAAAGAATCCAAGGAGACATATGTGGACCAATTCACCCACCTTGTGGGACATTCAGATATTTCATGGTCCTCATTGACGCATCGACCCGCTGGTCGCATGTCTGTCTGCTCTCTTCTAGGAACCAGGCTTTTGCTAGGTTATTGGCCCAAATCATCAGATTATGAGCCCATTTTCCAGACTTCCCATTAAAGATTATACGTCTTGATAATGCTGGTGAATTCACTTCCCAAGCGTTTAATGAATATTGTATGTCCATGGGGGTAAGTGTTGAACATCCCGTTCCACATGTCCATACACAAAATGGATTAGCTGAATCCTTCATTAAACGAATTCAATGGGTTGCTAGACCATTACTCATGAGGTCACAACTCCCGGTCTCAGCTTGGGGACACGCAGTCTTACATGCCGCTGAACTAATACGCATACGACCATCTAGTGAGCACAAATATTCACCATCCCAATTGCTAACGGGTCATGAGCCAGACGTCTCCCATATTAAAACATTTGGGTGTTAAGTCTATGTACCCATTGCACCACCACAGGACTAAAATGGGACCTCAAAGGAGGATGGGAATATATGTTGGTTTTGATTCTCCCACCATCATAAAATATCTCGAGCCAACTACAGGAGATCTGTTTAAAGCCAGATATGCAGATTGCCGATTTGATGAATCGGTATATCCTAGATTAGGTGGTGAAACAGACAAGCTGGTAAAAGAACTTTCATGGAATCAAACATCCACACAATGGCAAGATCCTCGAACTCTAGAATGTGATTCAGAGGTCCAAAGAATTATACATTTACAAAAGCTAGCTAATCAATTGCCAGATTCCTTTGCTGACCCGAACAAAGTTACCAAATCGTACATACCAGCTTGTAATGCACAGTACGAATAGATGTCCCCTCAGGGAAAAGTCAAGTTGCTACAGAGTCTGACGCACGTAAGAAACGTGGCAGACCACCAGGTTCTAAAGATAAGAATCCCCAGAAATCAAAGAAAGGTGCAATGATTGAAACCGGGATTCAAGAGAACACGGATACAGCCTCAGCTGATACTTACCCTATCGAACCATCTCAAGAGGTTTGGGACGCCAAAACTCAAGGTTCTGAAGGGATTGATAATAATGAGATCTCAATCAATTATATCATATTCGGTTCTCTATGGAACAGAAAAGATGTCGACATCAATGAAACTTTTGCATACAAGGTAGCACTTGAGATTGCGCACACGCAAGAGGATCTAGAACCCACGTCTATAATTGAGTGCACTCGTAGATCAGATTGGCTGAAATGGAAAGAAGCCATAAACGTGGAGTTGAATAGTTTAAAGAAACGGAATGTGTTTGGTCCGATCTTAAGGACACCATTCGATGTTAAACCAGTGGGAAACAAATGGGTCTTTGTGCGTAAAAGAAACGAACTCGGCGAAGTCGTTAGACACAAGGCACGCCTTGTAGCACAAGGATTCTCACAGAGACCCGGAATCGATTATGAGGAGACTTATTCTCCAGTGGTGGATGCAACTACATTTCGATTCCTCATAAGTCTGGCCATAAGAGAAAACTTAGATTTGCGGTTAATGGATGTTGTAACCGCATATCTTTATGGACCACTGGACAGTGAAATCTATATGAGATTACCAGATGGTATTGAGCTCAAAGATAAGCATGCATCTCGTGATAAACACTGCATTAGGCTGAACAAATCCTTATATGGACTGAAACAAAGCGGACGTATGTGGTATAACCGGTTAAGCGAATATCTCATCAGAGAAGGCTACGAAAACGATCCGATCAGTCCATGCATCTTCATCAGAAAATATCAAAACAAAGGATTTGTAATCATAGCAGTATACGTGGATGACTTGAACATCCTCGGAACATCTGGTGAAATCGCCCAAACAGTTGAATGCTTAAAAGCAGAGTTTGAAATGAAAGACCTAGGCAAAACTAAATTCTGTTTGGGATTACAACTTGAGTACGTCAATGACGGAATCCTTGTGCATCAATTGGCATACACTGAAAAGGTACTCAAGAGATTCAATATGGACCAGGCCCACCCATTAACCAGCCCAATGGTTGTGAGGAGCCTTGGATTGGATAGTGATCCATTCGGTCCAAAGAAGGACGATGAAGAAATCCTCGGTCCTGAAATGCCATACCTCAGTGCCATAGGAGCATTAATGTACTTGGCTAGTCACACTAGACCAGACATCTGCTTTGCTGTGAGCCTCTTAGCTCGCTTTAGTTCGTGTCCAACTCAAAGGCACTGGAACGGTATTAAGCACATCCTTAGATACCTTCAAGGTACTAAGGACTTGGGATTATTTTATTCTAACCATAACAAGGATGGTCTAGTTGGTTTTGCTGATGCAGGATATTTGTCAGATCCGCACTGTGCCCGGTCTCAAACCGGTTATGTTTTCACGCATGGAGGAACAGCCATATCTTGGAGATCCATGAAGCAGACTATTGCCGCTACCTCATCCAACCATGCGGAAATCTTGGCCATTCACGAAGCTAGTAGAGAGTGTGTTTGGTTGCGGTCCATGACTCAGCATATCCGATCAGATTGTGGTATGGACGAAGATAAGGAGCCTACGGTGATGTATGAAGACAATGCAGCTTGTATCGCTCAACTCAAGGACGGCTACATCAAAGGTGACCGGACAAAGCATATTCTGCCCAAATTCTTCTTCACTCATGAGCTACAGAAGGATGGTCAGGTCAAGGTTCAGCAAGTCCGATCAAGCGAAAATTCAGCCGATCTATTCACTAAATCATTACCGACTTCTACACTCCGGAAGCTCATTCATCAGATAGGAATGCGTAGACTTAGAGATCTACAGTGATGCCTAAACCAGGGGGAGTAATGCGTGTTGTACTCTTTTTCCTTCACCATGGTTTTTCCCACTGGGTTTTCCTGGTAAGGTTTTAATGAGGCAACGTTCCCCAGCGCATTATAGAGATCCCGGTTTTGTGACAGGCACGGTTACCTTGTCCAAGGGGGAGTGTTATAAACAAATGGACTTCTAGTAACCGGCCCATTAACCATCAGGTTAATGTCTCATGGCCCATTAGGGTTTCTGATACATTAGTTATGTAATGTATATATACACTGCTTATGGAAACAATAAGATAAGAGTTTTTTCCCTTAATATCATGTTCTTTTTAAAAAAAAATGAAAGACTTGATTATAAAAGATGTTTCAAAGATCTCTTTTGACTCGTTCACAATATTAGCAATATATATATATTTATTGAGTGCTAAATCACATGATTGTGAAGATAGATAGAACATGGCATCGCTAACAATTGAATGCGATATCCTCTTTGGCTCAAACCTGAAAAGTGAAGGTCCTGGTGAATTCTCAGGTTCATACGATATTCTATTGAGGATAATATCGAATATATGGCATATCTTGGTGAATATCACATATTGTAATATTTTTATATCTTGTATTAGGGTTAGCTAAGATCGGCTACAGCTTGTATAAATACTCTTGTTTGTGATTGAATAAACTCAAGTCGTTCTCTAAATTCACATGGTATCAGAGCAGAGATCAAACTAGGGTTTTTCTTAATTGTTCTCTGTTTCTCGTGTTGAGCGACACAAATTTAGAAAAAAAGTTATTCTTTTTCTCTTCGAGTTTCTCTTTCTCCGGTAGTGTACGGTTACAATGGCGGATGAAACAAGTGTTTCTAATGTTGGAGGAGACAACTCGGTGGTACGATCTGGTGAAACTGTTGCAAAACAAGGTGACACCACGATAGTTTCGCCGTACTCGATCTTCTCGTCGGATAATCCCGGTGCCATGATTACCTCCGTTCAGTTAAAATGAGATAATTACAATGAATGGGCTATGGAGATGTTGAACGCCCTTCAAGCTAAGAAGAAGACTGGTTTTATTGATGGTACGTTGCCAAAACCAGCTCACGACAGCGGTGATTTGGAGTCTTGGCTGAGTGTGAACTCGATGATATTAGGTTGGATCAGAACTTCGATTGAACCGCAAGTTCGTTCCACAGTAACTTTTATCTCAGATGCACACAAACTCTGGGAAAATTTGAAGAAGCGTTTTGACGTGGGCAACAAGGTTCGAGTTCATCAGTTGATGGAACAGGTTGCGTCTTGTCGTCAGAATGGACAGGCGGTGATCGACTATTATGGTCGTATGGCTAAGATGTGGGAGGAG